GAACACATATTAGAGCCATGCCTTAAGGAAAAAAAAATCTTAGGCATGACATGATCCTGATTTGCACTATAATGAAAAATACTATAGTGCTATCTCAGTTCATATATACTGCTTATTTCCTAGACTCAACGTCTTCATAATGAATATTTACAAGAGAAATTAGCCCTAATTAAGTTGATCCTAGCATCCTCCACAACCACCGCCTCCGCAGCCGCCACCGCCTCCGCAACCGCCACCGCAGCCACCACCGCCTCCGTGATGACCACCGCAACCGCCGCCACCGCAAGTACTACCTAGAGTTCCTACAGTAAACATAGTTCCAGTAGTATCATTGCCTGTGCCATTCCATGAGCGGCTAGTATCTTTTCTTGTTGAATAACATACTTTTTCTGGCCTTTCTTTATGTTGACCTCCTTTTTTTCGGTGGAAGACTTTTTGCTAACACACAACCCCATGGCAATGGTACAATGAAGAAACTTACGCAGAGAATGTTTTCTAAAGATCAGATTAATTTTGACCAAACTTTATATAAGTGCAGAATAGATAAGATCGTCTTCTTCCTCCAATAGAAATCTATTTATGTTAGGATATTATCGTTACGATTTTGTCCTGTTTTTTCTCGATCATGTTTGATTGTTACTTTTTCTTGAAGGAAGAATTAAGCATTTATCATAATTGGTTTTTCTTTTTACTAAAAAAATGTATACATTTCTATATTTAGCTACGTAAATTTGAATTTTTATATTGAGGTACTTCCTTCAGTTGCTTTCTACCTATCCCCCACCATATTCCCGGCAAAATCAATAGTGCATCTACCTCTTTATATGTACTAGTAGTTGTACCGGTGCGATGCGCGGTCAGTATTAAAAAATATTAATTAAATTAAATTATGATAGGGCTTGTTTGATCCTATTAGATTGTATTGCTTTAATAAAATTCAATTGTCATCTTACTTGTCAATACGATATACCCAATAATGAAATCTCTATTAAATCAAAGGTACTTATATAGTTAGTGAATAACTTTTTTGTTCCATATAATTTTTATTATATTAACCAATATTTAATATTCGCTTTCTTTCTGTCATATATGAGAAGATTTATAATTTATTACTGTTGAAATATATTTTTATTTTAAATTTTATTCTATTGTTCTTAATAATATTATCTAAATTTTAATGAGCAAATCTCTGTTAAACTAACGGGACTTATACAGGGAGCGCATTGAATAACTTTTTTTGTTATGTATTTTTATTTATTATATCATCTAATATATAATATTATTACATTGTTAATAGAAAGTTTTATTAGCATATTACTTTATTAAATATTTTTCTCTGAAAGTTTTTTTATGTCTTTAGTTTCGTTTTATTTATTTTAAAATAATTTTAAAACTCCAACTTGAAACTACATCCCAATTTGAATGGGTAGTTTTTCTTCCCTTTCTTTCGTTTTTTTATAGCTAATTTTTTTTGCTTATTTTATTTTAAAGTATAATTTATAAACTTCCAACGTGAAACTACTCTCACCCAATTTGAATGGGTAGTTATTATTTTATATATTTATTTTTCTTTTTTTTTAATTATGTTTAATTATAAGATATCTATATTTATTTATTCTAATAAAGTAACCAATTAATATATATATATATATATATATATATATATATATATATATATATGTTTGTTCCTTGGTTATCTGATTATATTATCCATTACTTAATATTGTTAAATTGACACATGAATTATTAATAAATAGCCCCTTTAGTATAATAACTACTCCTATATATATATATACACACACA